TAAAATCAGGCATAACCCATGACACCTGTGGGTAGAAGGATTAAGCCCGTGTCTCTGGAGATTTGTGGGCTTTCAAATGATAACCACTTTTAAAAGGAGCAAAGGGGAAGGACAGGGGCAGACTGCCAGGTGCCAACTTCCCCTTGTCCTTTCTGGACATCATTTGATATAGTATCAAACCAAGCACAGTAACCTTGGGGTGATGCACCTTAAGCTGCTGTATCAATCAATTTTGGACTTTTTTAGAGGGAGTGTGAATGTCAGTGGTCAGTAGTTGTGTTGCCATAGCAGAGGTTAAAATCCTCCCAACATCAGAATACTGTGTGTAATGTCCCAGGACAGGTGTCCAAACAGCCTAAAGTACCCACCTGAAGGGTGGTACCACCTGAAGCCTGCTGAAGGGTCACTTCTGCCTGCCAGACCTCCTTGTCCCCAGGCTGCCACCAACATAGTCCACAGAAAGGGAGACAGCTGTTAACTAGGAACTGCCTGGAAATGGTGGTCCTGTTCCAGTTAAAGAGTGGGATGAGGGGAATGGTCATAAGGGCCAGCAAAATTTCAAACACCTCCAGGAAAGCAGAGAGGATGCATAACACAGCCTGCAGCATCCCACTCCCTGGCCCACACCCCCTAGCTGCCAGGCTCTCTCTCTCACCAGCTCCCAAAGAGGCTTTCTGTGCTCAGAGAGGGACCTTCCCGCTTATCACCTGCACAGATCCGTGTCCTTCGGCCAAGGGGTGAGCACAGGGGGATCACAGAGGCTACGGATGGAGCAGTCCTGTTAGCCCTAGCGCCAGCCCAGAGGCCTGAGCTCGGTGGGGAGAAAAGAAAGGGAAACAAGGCGAGAAAAAGAGGAGGAGAGTTGAATAAGGGGCAGGACGGTGGGAAGAGCAGAGAAGTAGGGAGGGAAGGAAGAAAGCAGAAAAAAAGGAGGAGAAAGGGGAGGAGATGAAAGGCAAGGGGAGAAGGGAGGACCGGGCGGGGAGGAGGCGAGAGGCCGGGCAGGAGAGGAGGGAGGCAGCTCGGCAGAGAGGAACGGGACGGGACCCG